GAAGATTAGAAAGTTAAACTAAATTAGGACTAGTTTAAGAGGGCCTTGAACACAAGGATAAAGATTTTGGCTTTATATAGTAGGAAGGAAATAACCAATTATTAGGTACCTATTTTGTGCCAGGCATTGTGCTAAACACTTTAAAAAATATCATCTCATTTGATCCTTACAACAACCCTAAGAGTTAGGTGCTATTATTATTCCCATTTTACAGTTGAGGAAATTGAGGCAGACAGAGGTTAAGTGACTTGTTCAAATCACACAGCTAGTAAATATGTGATGCCAGATTTGTATTCGGTCATTTCTGACTCTAGGTTCAATGCTTTATCCTCTGTATCACCTAGTTTTCCTGTAGACAACAGGGAACTATTTCAATTTTAATAGCTGTGCTTTAGAAAGATTAGTTTGTGGCACCTAGAAGTGATCAGAGTTGGAAAGGGCCTCTCCTTCTAAAGCTACTTTTCATCTGTTCTTTCCCATTAACTCACATAAACAAACACAACAGTTCTAAGGATTTTTTTAAAATTCAAATCAACAAGAATTTAATAAGCACCTACTATGTGTATCACTTTCCCAATTTCTATACTTCTCTACCTTTGCCAGTGTTTTCTGCCTGGAAATTCTTGCATTTCTCTGTCTTCCACTATTGAAATCATACCCAACCTTTAAGTTTCAGCTTAGAAGTTTTGATAGATTTGTTCAGCAGAAGGTATTCTCTTCTCCCTCCAAATTCCCATGGTACTTTGTTTAATCTTTTCTCATGGTACTTATTACATACTAATCACAGATTTTCTGAGTTCAGGGTGACCTCAATCTAGTTCAGCTCATATGCAAAGAAAGAATTTCCACTAAAAATGTACACAAGTGGTCATCCAACGTTTACTTGGAAAAATAATCTCCAGTGAAGGAAAACCCATTAATTCACTTTTTGGACAGCTCTGCTTATTAGAGGGGCAGCTAGGTGGTGAAGTGGTTTGAGCACCAGGTCTGGTATCAGGAAGACTTAGCTTCCTGAGTTCAAATTTGGCCTCAGACATTTACTAGCTGAGTGACCCTGTTTGCCTCAATTTCCTCATTGGTAAAATGAGCTGGAGAAGGAAAGGGCAAATCCCTCTAGTATCTCTGCCAAGAAAATCCCCAAATGGGGTCATGAAAAGTCAGACAGCACTGAACCACCCAACCACAACAACAACAGCACTTATTAGGAAATGTTTTCCTAACATCAGTGCCTACCTCTTTGCCAGTTCTATCTAATGTACCTACCTCTGTTCTCTGGAGTCAAACTAAAGAAATCCATTCCCTCTTCCTCCTGATGGTCTTTTAAGTCCTTGAATACAATTGTCATGTGTAATCTCTCAAATCAAATGAGATAATATTTGTTAAGTGCTTAGCACTTTGCCTGGCACACAATAAGCACTTAATACATGCTCTATCCTTCCTTCCTTCTGTCGTCACTTTTTTTTTTTTGTTGCTTTTTGGTGAGTCAGTTGGGGTTAAGTGACTTGCCCAGGGTAACACAGCTAGTGTCAAGTGTCTGAGGTTGAATTTGAACTCAGGTCCTCGTGACTACAAGGCCTGAGCTCTATCCACTGTACCACTGTCTTTACTTCTTAAGGCTAGTTAATCCCTAGTTCCTCCATCTCACCCTCATATGGCATAGACTCAAATTCCTTCACCATTCTGGTTGCCCCTATATGGACAATCTCCTACATTTAGAGGCAGCTGAATGACACAATGTAAATAGCACTGGGCCTGGAGTCAAGAAGACCTCAGTTCAAATCCGGCCTCACACATTTACTAGCTGAGTGACTTCAGCAAATCACTTAACCTCTGACTGCCTCAGTTTCTTCAACTGTAAAATGAGGATAATAATATCACCCACCTCACAGTATTATTGTGAAGATCAAATGAGATAATATTTGTAAAGTGCTTAGCACATTGCCTGGAACAGAGTGGGTGTCTAATAAATGATTTTTCCCTTCCCCGCCTTCCCTTCCCTTTTAGATGTCCTTCCCAAAATGTGGGACTCAGAATTGAACACAACACTGCAGATAAGGTCTTAGCAGGAAAGAACACAATGGGACGATCATCTCCCTAGTTCAGGATACTATGCCTTTCTCAATTTAGCATCTAATTGAATTAGCCTTTTTGACCACTATATCCTACTGGTGACTAAGTTTCTTTAGCAGAAGGTTGCTAAACTCCCTAGATCCTGTTTCAGATGGACTCACTATCTACTTCTTCCAATGTACTTATTGATTTTTGACTTGAATGCAAATACAAGACTTTATATTTGTTCCTATTAAATTTAATTTTAGTAGATTGAGCCCTGTCTTCTAATCTGCCAAGATCTTTTTGGATCCTGATTCTGTCATGCAATTTAATAGCTATTTGTCCTAGCTCTGTGACACTTGCCATAAGCATGCCATCTACACCTTTATCCAAGTAACTCATAAAAATTTTAAATGGCCAATTGGCCCCTGATCCCTAAGACACTCTACTAAAGACTTGCTAATGGAGTATTGAATGAGACTATCATTACTACTCTTTGAGTCAGGGAATTCAACTGTTTTTAAATCTGTCCTCATCTTTTTCACTAGACTAGCATGAGGCCCTTGATCAAAAACTTCCTTGAAATTTAGGTAAAGTGCATCGATCACATTCCTATTCTCTAGCAGATTAGGAATCCTGTGGATAAAGGAGACAAGACTAGTCTGAGCATAAGTTGACCATGAAGAAGCCGAGCTGGTTCATTGTGATAACCACTTGCTTTCCTAAATGTTTATTAGCCATCTCTTTTCAATTTAGAATTTTCCCAGAAATTTAAATCAAGCAACTGGACTAGTGCTGGCAGATGACATCCTCTTCCCTTTTTTAGGACATTTGTTTTTCTCCAGTGTAGCAATATCTCTCTAGTAATTTGTTCACATGTCTTTTTTACCCAGTGAAATTTTAATTTCCCTGAGGGTAGGAACTCTGTCATATACATATGTGTGTACATATATGTATTGTGTGTGTATATTTATTACGTATATATACACATACGTATATGCACACACATATAGGCAGCTAGGTGGTGCAGTGATTAAAGTGCTGGGAATCAAGAAGGCTGGTCTTCCTGAATTCGAATCTGTTCTCAGACAATTAGTAGCTCATGTAACCTTGTTTGCCTCAGTTTCCTCATCTGTAAAATTAACTGGAGAAGGAAATGTAAACCACTCCAGTATTTTTGCCAAGAAAACCCCAAATGGGGTAACAAAGAGTCAGGCACCACTGAAAAATGTCCAAAGAACAAAAATATGTGATATATACATAAAGACACACAGCCAACAAATAACCTGTTGGGGGAAGTCCAGCTCTGTCCCTGTTTCTCCTGTTCTGTACAGAAGGAAATATGTGTGAGATTTCTAGTAAAATTTGGCCACATTTACCTATAGCATACTTTATTCACTCTAAGATTTATTATTCCAATGAACAAAGGGAAAGTAGCAAGGTCAATTAAATTCATAAGCATTTATTAAGCATCTACTATGTCCAAAGATATTGTACTTAGCACTGGAGATACAAAGATAAATGTTAAAGTCAAAGAATCTCTGCCCTCAGGGAGTTTACATTCTACTTGAGGAAGTGAGGTGCAAAATATATACAGATAAGGATATTCTGGAGCCAGTTCTAACTGGTTGTTGAGGGCTGATGGGTTAAATTTTCAATGAGAGCATTTACTTTTTTGGAAACTGGCGAACTCAGCAAATCAGGGCTTGATTTATTGTTCTGTTAATTGTCTAGACTTAAGAAAGTGATAGAGAGAATGTTAATAATGCAGACTAATCTTAAAAGTGTGTCATGCATACTTTTTTTTTTCCCTTGGAGAGCTGGTTGTTAAAGATTTACTAGAATACCACTGTGCAGATAAGTAAACATAACATCTAACACAAAGTAATAAAAAAAATAATTTCAAGATGAGGAGAATACTAGCAACTAAAAGGATCAGGAAAGGGACCTGATAGAGATGGAAGTTAGAAGGGAGAACACTCTAAGCATGAGGAGTTGGGGCACCTGTGCAAAGGAAAAGACAGGAGATGGAATGTTATATAGAGAGGGGAAGGGGAAGGGAACATTCATTTTTTTTTTTTTAGGGCTAGGCAATGGGGTTAAGTGACTTGCCCAGGGTCACACATCTAGTAAGTGTTATGTGTCTGAGGCCAGATTTGAACTCAGGTCCTTCTGAATCCAGGGCTGTGCTCTATCCATTGCGCCACCTAGTTGCCCTGGGAACATTAATTTAGTGCTTACTATGTGCCAGGCACTATGTTAAGTAATTTATATTATCTCATATGATTCTCTGTCTATTTCTCTCTCTCTCTGTCTCTCTCTCTCTCTCTTTTCCTCTCTCTGTAATCAGGGTTAAGTGACTTGCCCAGGGTCACACAGCTAATAAGTGTCTGAGACTGGATTTGAACTCAGGTCCTCCTGACTCCAGGGACAGTGTCTCATATGATTCTCACAACATCCCCCTGGGAGTACTTGCTATTTTGATCTCCATTTTACCATTGAGGATACTGAGGTAAACAGGGTGAATGAATGACTTGCCCAACAAGGTCACACAGCTGTTAAGTAATTGAGGCTAGAGATGAACTCAGATCTTTCTGACTCCAGGCCCAGAAGTTTACCTGCTGAGATGCCTGGCTTGATTAGAATGTAAAGTGTGGGAGCAGCTAGGTGGTGCAGTGGATAGAGCTCCGGCCTTGGAGTCAGGAGGACCTGAGTTCAAATCCAGTCTCAGACACATGGCACTCACTAGCTGTGTGACCCTGGGCAAGTCACTTAACCCCATTGCCTCAAAAAAAAAAATAGAATGTAAAGTGTGTGAAGAGCAATGATAAGAAGTTAGTCTGGAAAAATACTCCCAGGAGCAGGAAACAGAAGGAAGATATGGTTTCTCTGCTTGCCTCTTCTCTCTCTCCCTCTCTTCTAATAACCTTGTCCCTTCTCTTTGGCAGAGGCTTCTATCCTGAGCTACGATGGCAGCATGTACATGAAGATCATCATGCCCATGGTCATGCACACCGAGGCCGAGGACGTGTCTTTCCGTTTCATGTCTCAACGTGCTTATGGCTTGCTGGTGGCCACCACTTCCAGGGATTCAGCTGACACTCTCCGCCTGGAGCTGGATGGGGGTCGTGTCAAGCTCATGGTTAACTTAGGTATCGTATGAAGAGCCTCTGCCACTCTACTTGGGCTTGTGGTCCTTTTCTTTCCTTCTCTTCATTTTTTTTCCCAGTTGTTTTAATTGGATTGATTTCCTTCTGTTTGTTTTGTTTTTTTTTTTTTTGAAATGTTAGCTGCTGAAACCTTGTTTAGTAAACCAAAACACACTTAAAAAAAAAAAACAAAACTAAACAACAACACCTCTGTGTTGCTGCATGAAGTTTTGATGTCAATTTCTGGTTATGGATAGTGGTGATTTCCTTTTTACTAATGTCTTTGGGGTTTTTTATTTTATTTTATTTTTTTAAGTTTCCTTTCTTGGTCTTTTAAATTGATTAGCTTTGTGTAAGACATGCTACTTTGGTCCATCTTTTGATCAATCACCTCTCATTGAAACAGCTTCCTTAGTCACCACCCAAAACAGTCCAATGTGAGGGCAGGAAAAAAGGGAACTGGAAACAAAAGTAGGACGTAGGAATAGGGAAGATCTAGGTTGTGCAGGCCCATGGGGAATTGCATTATTTTTAACTACCATAATTGAGCCAGAAAAGGCCAATAACTCAATGACATTTGTCCCCATCTACCCCAAATGAGGTAACAGAACTTTTTGCCTCTGACTTCCAAACCAGAGGAATAATTCTACAAGGCTTTTAACCCAAATTGTTATATAAAATGGACATTTGCTGTCGCTCCATGTAGCTCTGGTCCATCAACCAACAGCACTTTGTGCTGAGGTGATCTGCTGTTGTACACTCTCCCCCACCTGTATTTTTTTCAAATCATATACATGCATTATTCCCTAGTGTTGGTTAGTGGAAGCAGAATGGATTATTATACCTTTACTTGGAGTTGTCCAAGTTCTATTCTTTTACCTGTACTTACCTCTAGCAGGAATCTTTGGGATTCAATCATTAATGCCATGGTCTTCCATTGAATGATTCACTTTTCTCCTTTTTTTTTTTTTTTTTTGTTGCAACTATCTACTTTCTAAAATGTGTGGTGACCTTTGGTTTTGGAGAAAACTATGCTCTGATTCTCTTTCCATTCACCAGAAGATCTTTTACTGAATTGCTAGACAACCTTAGGCCAGCTATTCAGTGTTGAATAGTGGTGGAAATACATGAGGAAGATGAAGCTTTCTGAGTCTTTAGCCTATGTTCGTCTCAAGACTACTTGAAGAAGATTTTAGTGACAAGATCTGTAAAAGAAATGAGTAAATTAAAACCTGAACCTAAACCAAGAGAGACATTAGGCATTAAATTCCAGACCATATCTAAATCTTGGATGATTTCTTATGGTAACATAATGTGGATTGCACCAGTCTAATGAAGGTTAGCTAGTAACACAAGAACAAACTAAATTAAAATTTTAAAATACGTAGGAAACAAAGGACTGTTTTGAGTTGTGATTCATTCATTTATTCTTTGTGTTTAATTTCCAGTTTTCAATTTTTACAATAAAATGTATTTTTCCCCCAGATCATTTGATATCCACTGGTTCTGTGTTTCTTTTTGTTGTTGTTTTATTATTTTGGATTTTATTTTATTTTTTGCTGGTTTTTTCTTCATGTACTTGAGTTTTTAAGCTCTTCCCCATCAACCATGGTAAATCAAAAGATGGTATTCAACCCTTCAAAGGCCCAAAGCCTGCGGCCCGCATAGTAAACAGCTCTGAGAACAGAGTGTACTGAGCAGCCTGCAGGTGGCAGGCATACCCCAGCCTATTACCACCGCCCCTTTCCCAGCCACTCTCCTCCTCTTCCAAAAGGGAAAAAAAGGCAAAGAAAAAGATATATATATATATATATATATATGTATACTATTTTAAATAATAATCAAAAAGTCTATTTATCTCTAAGGTAGAGAAAGGAACAAAAAAAGTCAAAACTCTCCCCAACACAAAAAAGTAATAATAATTATAAATTCTGTTTTTAAATAAGATGAGGGAGAAGTAGAGAAAAGATGATTCAGACCCACAGGGACCTCTTATTTAATGTTTGTTTTGTAAAGATTAGCAAGCCAGTTGTGACAGATCTCACATCTTAGCTGAGAATAACTGGAAGGAGAGAGGGAGAGAGACAGAAACACACACACACAACACACACACACACACACACACACACACATACATGCAGAGAGCAAGACACAGCTCCCATATGTAATCTAAAATCCTTATAAATCTTTCAAACTCAGGCCAACAGGAGAATCAAGAGATAAGCAGTTTCTTCCCTGCTATTTTTATCCCCTCTGTTCTCACCTTGGGGTCAGGGAATCCTCTCATTTCTTGAGGACTTCCAGCTTTGATTTATCGTACGCCTTTTCGTTCTTAGAGCTGAGTCTTCCTAGCTTGGGCAGTTCCACAAGGACACAGACCTCGTGCTGACTGTTGCCTAAGAACTGGATACTCTTGGAAATAAGTCATGTTGACTTCTTTCTTTCCGAAAGAATTGATGCCTCTAGGGCTCCAGATTCAGTATTCTCCTTTTCTGTTTAACACACACACACACACACACACACACACACACACACACGCATTCAGACATAACCTATGCTCAAAGACTTTTTTAGAAGTCTGTTTTCTGTTCTATGCTTACATAAATAGTTTATTTTTCTATCAGTCATGAATTCCATTTTCCTGTTCCCAGAGCCTACCAGGTGATAGCTCCAAAGACAATGTACATTCAGCCTGTATGTCCCCACTACTCCTTACTGGGCTGTGTCGCACTGAAATAAAACAATTGCTACTTATTGCATATAGGCTATTTGAGAGCAAGAACTGTTTCATTTTTATCTTTATATCCCTAGCATGTACCAGGGTTCATTGCACATAAGAGACACAAAAAAAGTTTGTTGATGAACCGACACATTATATCCACAATCCTTGGGAAGGATTGTTGAGAACCATACTTCAGTAGGGTAGACATGGTAGAGCTTCAGGCCATTCCATAAATCGCAGTTGAATGCTTGAAACTTGAACTTGTTGAATACTTTTCACTTTTTACCCCTTTTTTGAAAAATGTAGCAGCTAGAAACATTTACATGTGGATTTCCTCCATACCTTATCCAAAAACCAAGTGGCATGGGAGGAAAAAAAAAATTCAATCTCCCTCATTTAAAAAAAAAGCTAACTTAAAAATCAACTTTTAGAAGCTACTCAAAGTTGTTGGAAAAGTGATTTACCTAAAATAAATTCCCTGAGTTTGGATTCCCCATTTTCCAATGACTAGTGTCTTGTAATAAGTTAACCTCAAGGAGAGCTATTCATTCAGATTTCAAATCTGTAAGGGGCATTTTGACCTAAAAGAGGGATGAGTTCCAACACAATAGCTAAAGATTGTCAAGATACCTCAACTTCATTGTTGCCTCTCCCCTTTGATTCCTCATGACATAGCCTGTTCCTTGATGACATTTGAAAGAATAAAATCATCAGCAAGTTTGTAGATGGAAATTTGTTTCAAAGTCCCCTTCACTTCAGGTAACCCATTCTACATGAACCATAGTGGACTAAAACATGAAATATATGATCTAGTTTGGCTTTCCTTCCACAATAGTTCTTGCTTAAGAACGTATGGAAACCAAAAGAAAATTGCACGGCCTTAGGGTTCCTCTCTCTGTCTCTGTCTGTCTCTCTCTCTTTCTCTGTGTGTTTCTCCTCCTCCCAAGCTCAGTCACGTTTTCTTTATACATAAATCAGGAGGGAGGGGTATTTATTCAGCCTTATTGGATGGTACAAAATCAAATGTTAAAACCCCTCACCACTTCAAGCCCGCGTCACTCTCCCTCACCCACAGTCTTCACCAAGGGGTATAGCCGCCACTGTATGGTGACCGTACCAAATGCTCCAGAGCTGTTTGCTCCCACTTTTCTGTTGCGGTTGACGACACATGACAAACCTAATCTCATGAAACCAAACCCAGATTTTCTCAAGAGATGTCAAACCCTCTTTAAGCCCTGTCCCCAGGATGATTGGCTATTCTAAATTGTACTGGTCTGGATTTAAATTTGTCCTTTGTCACCCTTTCTGTCCCTTTCCCTATAAAAGATTTTAAAGGTTAAAATGATGCGATGACAGTCTCTGACTCTACTTCAAAAGACACGTGACACTTTAATGTTGAGGTAGAGGAATGTTCTTAACTGCTTTTTCTTCTGTTGCTCTCACAATATTCTTTAAATCAAGATAAAGCAAAATGAGCAACATAAAAAACAAAACAAAATTATCCTCTTTCCTTAGAATATTTTGCTGTTTTTCTCTTCTTTTTAATCTCTTATTGGAGTTTCATCCATTATAACGCTGATAACCATTTATATTTGGAGAATTTGATAGCACCATTCCTATTGGCTAGTGTGGTGATTACTGAGGCATTTTTCCTAGCCATCCCTGTCCAATCCCCTATAAGTTTTTCAAGTAATGGTAAGTAAAGATATCTAATGACTTAGGGATCCAATGAGTCCATGAAAGAATATTTCTGACCAAAAGCTCACACGTCACAAAGAAGGGTCAGGGAACTTTTTTTTTTAAATGAAGATAAAACCTCCTCTGCTTGATACTTAAAGTCACTTGTTCAACTCCCACTGTCCCTGATGTCTTTAGAGTCAGATCTAGAAATACCAATTGAAACAGGTTGATCAAGGGCCCTCGGTACTGCCTCCACATTTACCTGCCTCACCTTCTCTCTGAATGCTATGGAAACTTCATTTGCAAAGAGCATTCAGGTAGCAAGATGAGGATTGGTTCTAGTGAGGGGTATTGTCTGGGAGCCCTTGAAGCACTGCCCCCCCCATATAAATTACTTAACCCAATCAAAAATAACACCCAGTGACTGCCCTTCCCACTCCCCTCTCCTGGCCCTTAACTCTCTGAAATCTGGGATGGGCGTTTGTGTGGTTAGCTGTTTGCAAGTGGCCATTTTATGATAGGAAATGACCAGATGGTATTAACCCTTTCCTTACTTTATGAGTAACGGCAAAATGCCAATACAAATTGCTAGAGCATCTGTGGGATGATGTAGGGAGAGGGAGGAGGGAGTTTGTTCTTAGGAAAAGAGAAAGGGTTAAATACTGCACTGTTGAACCTCATAGGCAGATTTTTTTTTTCAGGATAAAATGTGTCAGATGATGTGCCTATGGAATAATAATAATAATATATATCTATATTAATAAAATAGTGTTAAGGCTGCTTTTAAAGATAAAATGAAAGAAGATACAATGTAGATGGAAAGGTGGGGCATAACTTGCATTTGGTGGTGATGGGGAAATTGTGCCTGATTTGTCAAGTATTTTTTAAAAAAAATAACATTTCAAGTTGAGGTTTGAGATAATACATAATAGATACATGCATAGGTTTTCCGCAAAAGAGAAACATACTCTGTGTCTATCCGTGGATATATATGTATATCAGTATATATCTCTATACATATGTGTATATATGTGTGTGTATATATATATGTATTCAATTTTTTCTATATAATATACTGTACATATACACCCACCCTTAAATTTGTACATACTGTATATATATAAAATGGCCACATTTCTTGCGTGTGTCTGTCCCCGGAAGGGTGGACTGATTGTTTTTGGATGTCTGCAGCTGTTACCTTGAAGGATGCAATTTCATCTTTCATTTATTTTTCCCCATCTAGACTGTATCAGGATAAACTGTAACTCCAGTAAGTTTTCCCTCAAGTTTCATTTTGTTCTTTAAAAACAAAAAAACTAAACTGAATTTATTTTGCTTGCTGTTTTATGAGCTGTTTTTCATTTGAATTTTCTTTTTCCAACTACAGAGTTGGGTGGGACCGGGGGCCTACAAGATGGAAATAACTGGGTGGGATGGTAAGGGTTTCTCAGGATATTCTTTATGGAACGGGGCTGGTGCCCTCCCTCTACATTCACTATGATTACTATACTCTGAAGAAGAGGAGGGGAAGACACCTGGATAATATGATGAATTGAAAATGAATTAAATGACAATTTGTTATTTTTGGGAAATGGTCTATTGGGAAATAGGTCTTGCCTATTCACAAGGAAAAAGAATGGTCCTAATGAAATGGTCCTAAGGGGCTAATAGAAAGCATTACAGCAACAGCCATATACTTCTCCACTACTGAAAAAAAAATTAAGATACATAAAATAAGGTTCACGACACAGATGGTGGCTGCTGAATCTGACATATCTTCATTGGCTTTTATCTCTTTGGTGGGTTCTCAGGGTGGTGGGGAAAAAGCAGTCATTTAACAGGAATGGAAAACGTCAACCAAAGACATGGCAATTTGGAAGAAGGAAGGATTCTAGTTTATTCATTTGATTTCACTACCCTAAATCTCAGCATATTTTTTCTCAATCTACTTGCTTGATGCTCTGAAATCTCTTTAAAAAAAGGAAACTTCTTAATGGATAGGTTAGAAACTTCCCAGTACTGGGGACATCACTGAGAAAAGGATAGAGAATGTGAATTGATGAGTAATGAGTAAGGCATAAGATTGGAAGATAAGAGATGAGAGAGGAAAAAGGAAGAAGTAAGTAGAGGAGGGTTGAATTCTTGTTCTTCCCAAATTAATTAACCGTTTAGACTCTTTTGTGTCCTGTCAATTTCTGGATACTACCAGGCATCTCTTGTTTTTATTTTTGAAACATAATGGGAACAGAAAGGAAGGAAAGAAGGAAGGAAGGAAGGAAGGAAGGAAGGAAGGAAGGAAGGAAGGAAGGAAGGAAGGAAGGAAGGAAGGAAGATCTTCTTTTTGAATTGCTTTTTCCATCATGTTAAAGTCTAGATTATTCAAATTTTGAATGGTACTTAATGCACAGGGAAGCTACTGTGAATACTGTGACTGCTAAAACCAGATACCATTTTCTGGAAAGTTAACAAAAAAGAAAGAAGGCAACACAAAACATACAACCTAAAGGAAATCTTTTTCAAGCAGAATGTTTTATATAAGTCTTAACGGCTCTTTTAGCTATTTTAAGCAATGTCCTATTTTGGTATTCTTAAACATTTGTAACTAGCCACCTTATTTTCTGATATTATATACATTATTTAAGAATTTTATTGAGGTTTTTTTTAAATTTTTCTCCAAACCGCAGTAGAATGAGTATCTCCGAGCATCAGACAACTATTTTAGGAGGAAAGTGAAGAGTGCTAAGGAATTTTGATGTTATTTTTAATCAAGAAATGAAGGCTTAGTTTCTTGCTATCTTTCCACACTTTCCATTGAAGAAACTTTTCTTATGTTTTCTGAGCATCTGTATAAGTTGGATATAATACAACTTTCAGGTTTCTCTTTTGGACAGAATGTTTTTCTTGCAACTTCACACATGTCATCATGCTTCTTATATATGAATTAAAAATTTCTGTTAAGAACCAATTAGGACAATTTTAAGAAAGAAAAGTTATCAGGAAAGCAGTATTCTAACTTTTATACACATTTGTGAATATGTCTGGTTTAATTCATACTTTAAGTAAAGAATAGGGTTTAGATGTTGGAAATCATTTTGAAAAAAATTGAATTATACCTGTGATTTAACTGGTATAGAGAATTTCTGGTGAGGAAACTCCTTTTACAATGAAGATTAGAAAATTCTCTGCAATTTTATAGTCCAAGAGAGCTGCTTAGTACACTGAGAAATTAGCCAGCTCATCTGTGTCGGAGACAGGACTTAACTTCTATTCTTCTTGACTCTGAGGTCATCTCTTTGTCCATGACACCATTTTAAAATTACCATCATGAATTTCTAATACTGTACCCCTCGATTATCATAATGGGGCTCCCAGAACTAAATATGCAGATCTGGAGATAGGCACCTAAACAATGGGTGGATAAAATAATGAGAACTTTTTTGTACTTTGACCTAAGATTTTGAAGGACCGGTCAGTAGAGGAGAACAAGATTGACAAGTAGAATTTCATAAATAGTCCTTTGACTTTTTCAGCCTTAATTCATAAAAGCTTCACAAGTAGACTACTATGAATTTTGATGACAAAGGAGATTTAGTAGGTAGGTGTGTTTGATCGCATGGCCTTGCTTTTCTACAGCCATGGTGAAGGCTATAGAAAGATTTTGGATTGACCTGCTCCCCAGTTGCTTTGCTTCTTCTTTACTCCAAACCTTGATCCTTGCTGCCATTTAAGCAGAGTCCTTAGACTCTATTTGCAAAATTTTTCAATGATGTTCCTCTTTTCTCTTGAGGGAACATATCTCTTGTGGCTTTGGTCAGCATTATGCATAAATACAAGATATTTTCCAACAGCTCTGTTGCATGTTTTTCTGGCCCATCCTCTTCCTTGAGAGTTTACTGGCTATTAGTGACTGATATCAACATTCCGTTAACCCACCCATCTTTCATAAGTATTGTTTGGCGTTATCAAGGAGTTATTTCTAAGGCTGACTATAATGAAGAGAAGAACAGGAAAGAGAAGAATACTTTTCAAGTGGGGAAAGGAAGATATTGGCCATGATATAGGACAATGAGCTGTGAATGATGAGTAATATTTTCTTCCTTCTTGCTTCCCTACATCCTTGTTGATGTCTTTAATAGTCAATGACTTTGTCTATACCTCATTCTGAGACTTGCCTATTCACAAGGAAAGAGAATTCCATCGTTCTTTGCTGTTTGTCTCTGTAGTTAACCCCTTCTCTCATCTCATCTCCTCACTCACTTGACATATAGTATCTTCGAACACTGATGCCCATTAAAGACGAATTACTCTTGAATTCCCAACCGTATCACACATATAAGTGAAGAAATGAAGCAATGTCTTTGGTTGAAAGGGGCTCATTGCTGGGCTTGAATCATCAGGGGTTGATATAGTTGATAAAAATGAGTAAGGTGAGCAATGCCTAGCAGTGGTGTCAAATTCAAATAGAAATGTTCCCTGCAGGCTTCATGTTGACTTAGAAAAGCTCAAATTAACAGTATCTACATTGTATTGTATTTTTATTAGTTTTGTTAAATAGTTACCAATTACATTTTAATACGATTTGGGCCATACTTGAGAGTTTTACAGGCTGCATAGGTCCTGTGAGCTCCAAGTTTGATACCTCTAGCTAAAATTTTGCAAAGTCCCATGGAAGGGTAAACAGAGTCAGCAGTCACTTTAGTGAATTGAACAACTCAGGTAACCTGATATCATTTAAAAGAAAACAGTGCTGCTCTTTGGAGAGGGGAGAGGTGTGTGCATATGTGTGTGTGTGAGGGGACTCTAATGGAAGAGAATATACACTCATTAGTGCATCAAATCCTACAAGTCTGACAATGACCAAAGGTGACTTGCAGAGAGAATGGCAGGTAAGGACTTCTCTTTATCCTATGATCGTTTTTGCTTAATACAAGAAAATTCTGGGACAAGTTTGCAGATTTCAGGTGAGTCTTTTATGTTTCATGTAACCCTCTTCTATTATTTCCTTTCCTTCATTTCCTTGAATCCCTTTTGACTTGAATGGCAGAATGAATGACCAACTAGCTTTTAAAAGTAGGTACCTTTCCTTTTGATTGTATATATTTATGACTTCACATGAAATGTGTTGACAAAATTCACATTTATTAAGTAAATATCACCCTGCTCTCCCTGTTTGTCTTTTTTTTCCTTGCTTTCATCAACTCATTTTTATAAGAAGCCTAAATGCCCTGTGTTAAGTATATGCATTTATTTAGTCATTCTGTAAAAGATGGAGTATGTATATATACATATATATGTATATTTGTATAGATGCATGAATTCCCCTTTTCTCACTGATATACTTTCACTTGAAGATCATGTAAAGGGGCTCTGCTGAATGCTTTTCAAATTGATATGCATTCATTATGCCTGCTTGGAAACAGGGGAGAAGAAAAATAGAGTGACTCATGGGGCAAAAAAAGATTACAAGGTTTAGACATTCTTGACATTACCAAAAGCCAAATGCTAAGATGGGGCTACTTGTTTGGGGCATACTTTTGATGATCTTGGCCCACACCCATATGCTTTATTAAATCATAGCAAAAGTGACCTAATGCACTGCTATGCCTAAAAATTTCCTGACAATTTCTGAGAGATATGAGATCTCCACATTATATCTTTAAATGCAATTCTATCCATTTCCCCATCATGTCCAATATTCCTGCTCTTTCTGCTAGTTGTCTAGTGACTGGCTTTTAACTTTTGACTTACATTCTGTATCTTCGTTTTGAAGATAGCTTCATTTTCCAGTCTTTTGGCAAGTCAAGGGATTGTGGGTGGTTCTAGCTTAATTTTAGATATAGCTAAGTAAGCCACGAACACCTACGCTTTTTTTTTTAAATCAGGCATGAGTGTGTGTGTGTGTGTGTGTGTGTGTGTGTGTGTGTGTGTGTGACTTACCCTTGGTCCTAGAAAAATTACTTTATTATAGAACCCTTGAGTAGGAAGAGACCCTAAATAATCATTTAACTTAGCAACATGCTTTAAACCCTGAACCTCCTGCTTCTGAGCAGCCCCAAATAGCTACCTTTCTGTTATGTTTAAAGATATCTTGAGTAAGAAAGCTCACACCTTCCTTTGGTATCTGTCTCACTGTTTTGAGAACAGCTTCATATAGATCTTGACCTTTCAACCCAAGGCTGATCTGGGTTTGAACCTCTTTCAGATTAGAAAATAACTTACTAGCACCCTTTTTAGAATTCTTCATCAGACTCTATAATAAGGCTTTCTTTT